TTTAAATTTACATAACATGATAGAAAATAATTCAATAATAAAATAGTTACAAAATTATTTACTATACTGAAAAGATAGTTGCGTCTTTATTATTATTAGTTATATAAAAATGTTGTTTTAATTATTTATTTAGTATTATAAAATAATATTTCTCATATCGATATTTTGTGTAATGATTTAGCGACTGAAAATTTTATCATAACGCCTGAAGAAACCAGTTTGGTAATTAATTGGAATATCAATTCAAACGTATGTAGTCATTTTATCTTAAAATTCTGTAATTTTTCAATTTTTTGTAATTTTGATCTTCAATCATTTTATCATTTAATCAAGTATTGTGGAAATAATAAAATTAATCCTTATTTTTTTTATAATAGCAATTACATCCATGTCCAGAAAGTTGGTATCATCTGATAGTTCGAAATATAAATACGAACGAAGAAGTTTCTGAATCAATTATATATTTTCCATACAAAGTACAACGTTTACCGTCATATACTAATTTTAATGTGACTATGTATCATAAAAATTACCAGATATTTACTCAAGAAGTTCGTACGCTTGAAGGCGGTGAGTTTTATATTGTTTATTACATCATAAAAATATATAAAATTGTATGTATATGTTGCATATGTTGTATATATTGCATATAAACACATGGTTATATTTAATATATTTAAACTATCAATATTTTAACAAACATTTATAGTCCCATCTAGAGTGTTAGATCTTCAACAGCTGTTGATCAATACAGAACTATCGTTGATTTGGAGGCCTCCAAATCAACCAAATGGAAAAATAATACGATATGAAGTGATTTTAAAGGTAAATAATTTTAAAAGAATACAAGATGTTTTAAATATGCTTCAAAGATTTAAAAATTTAAAGATTAAAAATTTTAATATTTTAATGACAACCTATGTTTTGATTTTGGATTTTGGACTTTATATTTATAATTTAGAAATGATTAAAATACTAAAATGGTTAAGTACTAAACCATTTTATTTGGTATCTTAAATAAGTTAATCTTATGACTGTAAGAATTTTCAAGACTCTCATAATTCAAAAGTATTAAATCGCGCAGAGTTATGGCATATATTTGACTTTAATAATATCATTTATTTATAACATTAAGTTTATCGTTTCTGTAAGCTTTCAATATCTTTTTTATTAATTTTAGATTAGAGAGTTTTATGGTTGTAAGGATTTAAAACTAGCTACTCCAAATAATCATATCATTAATGTATCGACAACAGATACAATGATCACAATTCCAGATTTACGTCCATACACATCTTATTCTGCGCAAGTTGTAACTCATAATTCACGACATTTCAGCATAATTGAAGAAAGAATCTTTGACACAGCACAATCTGGTAAATATTTAGATTATATTATTTAGTGAAATTATCATTGATATTACTAATAAAAATAACACAAGTCATTTTATTTATTTAAATGTTTATTAATTTTGAATTAAACTTATTGATTGAATGTTGAAATTGATTGTTTTCTTATACATATGCATACATATACAAATTTATCATAGAAAACATTAAAAACAATTGTTTTACAGAAATACCATCGGAGACATTTAGCCAGTTAAGAGTACAAGATTGGAAATTAATGTGGAATGCGCCTGAAGATTGTTCAACTATTACAGGATCAATGATAGCCAGGATAAAAATACGAGGAATTAGC